ATATATATATATATATATTTCTATATATATATATTTCTAAACTACAGATAACAGACTTATTTAATTGAAATGTTACACGTTGTTAAATAAACCAGACTCACCTTTAATAACATGTTGTGCTCCTGCGGACTTTAAATTTTAAACACGGTTACTTCTTCTTCTTTTATTTCTTCCTCGTCTCTTTTTTTAAAAGTAGCTTCAAAGTTGCAGCTTAAAATCCCACAAAAAAAGCTTCTTAATGTTGAGTTCCTCTTCAGATTTGTGTGTTTTTTAAATATATTTCTTCTCAATAACAAACTAAAGGAGGCTGAACTCCCCGCGGCTTCTTCTTCGCTCTGGCACATGGAGCTTTGTTTGGCGCGCTTTGATGGCGTCACACGGTTTGGTATAAGAGCGCGCCCCTTTCTGATTTTTAAACGAATATTTATTTATTTTTTATTGTTTTAGTTTCTTTTTAGAGGATAACTTTTTATTAGCGGTATTATTTTTAAACGATTAGTATTTTAAATTTTGTTATACTTTCTTAATTTAATTGTTTAAGTTTCTGTTTTAGAGCAGAACTTTGTAATAACGGTAAATAAATATTATGAACAGAAACGAAAATCATATTTTAGTCGTAATCCATGTAATGAAAGTATATAAAATAACAGTGTAATTACTTTATACACAAAGTAAGTCAGTGGTGCAAGGTAAAAGTACATTTACTTTAATACAGTGTATATATATATATATATATGTATATATATATATATATATATACACACACACATTTATTTACACTTTTATCCATTTATTCTTCTTCCGTTTCATATTCAAATCAAAACATCCCTTTTATACGTCTCGTGTTGACACGTCTGCATATTTCCTGTTTTACCTTTGGCTGAATTATTTCTCACCTTTAATAAATAATAAGAAAGAAGAGCTATTCTGCCTTCAAACAACTTTAAAAGTACCGACGTGTAAATATATGCAGCTGTAATATATGGAAACAAGAGTCTACAGTAATAAAACAAGCAAATATAATTGGATTGTACTTAATATATTTAATATAAAATAACTTTGTGATCAGGAACATAAAAAGTGTTCCGACAGTTTATTCCAGATGCTAAATATAAATTAAAACAGTAGAAGAAGAAAGCAAAGAGCATGTTGGAGGAATACTATTTTATTATTTAGTAGATGTTTATACATATATCAAATATTGACATCATACGTACATAAATAGAGAAACAAACATACATATATTCTCTTATGAACAAACTTGGCACTGCAGACTTCAGAGACGCTTTAGAAAATCTCCTCGTCTCTAAACTTCATATTTAAACACAATGATATACTTTATACTTTAATCAGGCCACATGTAGAGATTCCTCAGCTCGGTTAGTTGAAGTTAACGCTAATTTAAGACGTAAAATAAAGTTGTTTTTTGTTTAAATCGGGCGGAGATTCAGACACACGGCAGAAATGATGGAACTCTTGTGACACATTTATAGATGCAGACATTTATTTCCTTCTTTCATCTTTCCTTGAAAACAGACTTCATGTTTTGATGCTTTACTTCTTTGAGAATGCAAAACAGTCGTCATGAAAAAACAATTTATTGGGTGCCAACGCATGATTTTTAAGGACTGGAGGCGTGGTGAGCTTTTAGCTCTTAGTAAAATATAAAAATATATAAATCGTGACGTAGTCTGGAGTCTTTACTGTACCGCTGCTGTTCTTAGTGAAGTTTCATCAAACTGAGAATGAAGCTTTGCGACTTCAAAAGAAAGAATTTATCTTAATTTTTACTTCCGGAAGGAAAGTGCTCACAGTTAACTGCATTGTTCTGAGGGTTTATACATGTTGGAGTGCAAATAAGTCAAACAATTAACGTGGAAACGAACGACTAACTCGTTTAATCAAGTAGCGGTTTCAGTGCGTTTCATTTGGCAAAGCGAGAATGTCCTTCATCCTTTAGAGGGACAGCTTGTGAAGTCCAGCAGCTCTTTCTGCAGCACGGGACTGAAGCAGTTATCTGTGCTCTCTTCCACCAGACTCCATCTCTCTAAGTGGATATAGTGTAGTGATTCAAAGTGGAACACATCCTTCTACCACCAGCATGAGTTTGAATGCGTAGGAGACAAATTAATCTCAACCTCGACAGTGTCTGTGCTTCATATTGGACTGTAACCTCCAGCAGAACTTCCTTTCTTTCCTACATAAACAGGAGTCTATTCTTCACATTGGAATGTGTCCTTTACCTCCACTACAGAAGGAAAGAGTTACTTAGACTTCGTGTTGGAACGCAGCCTCATATTCCTCCTGTTATCTCCAGCTCCGCCTGGTGGACTTGCCCGAGTCCCTGGAGTGGGAGGACTTGTCGGAGAAGGTGCCGCTGTCGTTCCGCCGGTGGCCTTTAGGGGGAACCAGCGGGTCGTGGAGCGGCGAACGAGGAGGTGCCCTGATGCTCTGAGACCTCAATGCGGAGGAGGAGGAGGAAGGTTTGAGGAGGTCGGAGGACGTGGAGGTGGAGGAGACTCTCAGAGAGCCGGTTCGGGTGAAAGGCGAGATGGTGCCGGAAGGAGCGGCAGAGGAAGAGGAGGTCTTAAGGGAGGATTTAAAGGAGGAGATTGAGCCAGAGTGGGGCGAATGATGAGGAGGAGGAGGAGGAGGAGGAGTGAGCGGGGTTAGGGTTCGTCTGAAAGAAGAAGAAGCAGTGCTTCGGGCGAAACCAGGAAGCGGCGATGACGAAGGGGTACCGGCTTTGTGCGAAGGAGTAACAGGAGCACTGAAGCTTCCTCCTCCTCCACTTGCTTGAGAGAGCGACCGCAGCGTGGAGCGACACATCTTCTCCTCCGGCGGAGGTTTGGGTTTCGCCAACGGCTTTCGGATGGACGGCCTCCTTTGCACGTCCTGGTTCTGCTCTTGAGTACCCGAAACCTTCTGGTCTTTTGAGTTCTTGGGGTCCGGCGTCTTGTGGACGCTGGAGCGGCGGGACGACGGAGCGGTCGACGAGGTGCCGTTGAGGTTGTGGGCGGTCGGACCGGCGGTCGCTGCAGCGCTGGAGGAGCCCCGCTGGTGGCCGGGAGGCTTCTCGGGATGTTGGCCCGGAGTTGGAGCGCCTCTGCTGGTCCTGGAGATGGGCAGGACGCGCCTCATGCTCTGGTTCTCGGTGCTCGTGAGGGTGCGGAGAGGCCTGCTTTTGTTGGCGGCGAATGCGGCGGTGACGGGTTTCGTCCCAGCGGGTCGAGTTTTAGAGGTAGGGAGGTTCTTGGTGGACAATTTGGACAAATTTGCCGATTCGGCTTTTCCTTTAGTGGAAGAAGCTGCTTCTGTGCGACAGGAAGCAGTTTTGTTTCTTCTCCCGTCACCTGTTGGGACGATCTCCACATCTCTCTTCTCATTGGTGGAGCCCTCCGCTTCTCCTCTTTGATTGGCTGTTCCTTTAGCTTCCCTTGCGCCGACAACGGACGCCCCATTGGCCGCCGCAGGCTCTGCTGGGTGCCACATGGGCGAAGAGGCGGGATGCGATGGATCGTCGCGGCGGGGGACAGGCACCGGTTGGCTGCTGATGGGTTCAGGCACTGGCTTCTCATTGGCCGGCTGAGGTTCTGAAGGCGTGCGATTGGCTGGGGCAGAGGAAGCTTGCTGGCTCCCTCCCCGATTGTCGCTCCTACGCTGGTCCCGCTCAGTTCGTGTGTCGTCGGTGTGCTCGAGCTCGCCGGCGGCCTCGCACACACCCGTCACGCACCACACGACCACCTTTTCCTCTCCTCCCTCCTCTTCCTCTTTTGTTTCAGCATTCCCAATCTGGGAGTCATCCTGCACCTTCTTGGCCGGTCGGTCCTCTTCGTCTCTGCGACAATGCCGAGCGGTGTGAGGCCCTTCGTGGCGGCCGGCGACCTCGCCGAACACTTTCAGCTCAGGCACCAATGTGCATTTCTCTACAACCATCGACATGTTTCCACTAAAAATATGATCGGCTTTGTTCACTCTGACAAGTTCCGACTTCGAACCATATTTAGGGTCCGAAAGCGCCCCGACGCAGAGTCGATCTTTGCCGTTGTTGTGGTCCGATTGCTGGTTGGGATCAGAGGTAGTTTTGACTGCATTTGCCGGATCGATGCCGTTATTAGCATCGTTGCTGAGGTAGGTGGCGGTTGTATGGTTCAGTCGCGGTGCCATGTGGCCCGCTTCAGGCTGCTGGTTTTGGGGGAAGCTGCATGTCGTGACCCTCGGACTTTGTGGTCTGCGTTCGGGAGAGGCCGATAGAAAAGCTGTCCTCGCCTCTTTGTGGTCGGGGCTCGCCAACCCCAGGAGCGTGCTCAGTTCGCGGTCAGCGGCGACAACCAACAGCGAGTTCCTGGAGCGCCGCGAGCTCCCTGAGCGTCGCAGAGAATTGTGGGAGTTGTTGAAGAGCGAGCGAGAGCCGAACTTCGGGGACAGGAGCTCCACCAGCAGCCGGGCGTCGTCGTGTGCCGACACGGCGGCCGTCATGTCCGCCTCGCTGCGGCACCGCAACCCGACCGCTCCGTCCACCTAAAGCAGAAACACACGTTCGTGACTCGTCAAGCTGTTTGTGTGTTTTCAAAGTTTCCGTGAGCGTGACCTCTTACCTCCTCGCTGCCGGCCCACGAGTGCCTCTTCTGCTCCTCCAGATCCTGTAACCTCCGGCGACGGGCCGCCTCCTTGGCCTCCCGCTCAATGTTCTCCTTCAGAGGGACAAGTTTTAACTTTCTTAACTTCTATCTCTCTGTTTGAGCAGCAGGTGGCAGCAGAGGTCCACCGTCTATGAAACATGCTACCGACGCATTTACTGTACTGAAATACAAAGTACTTTACTTGAGTATTCTCATTTTATGTCACCTCTACTTCAAACCGTTTATGACATTTTTTACTTTAAGAGTTTATAATTTATATTTTGCCATAAAGTAGTCGATTGACAGAAAATGTATTGTCAACTGTTTGACGTACTTGTACTTAACTTGAGTCTTTTCTTTTCGTGCTACTTTACACTTTTTACTTCACTACATCTCAGAGAGTAATATTTACTTCACTACATTTATCCGACAGCTTTAGTACTTCACAAATTATGTTTTTGCATTAAATATACAACGAGTTTATAGCTTCAGCTTCACAAATTTAAAGCTTTGCTGCTTTTCATTCTAATGATGTTAATGTGTTCATTAAATAAAGAGTATTTCTACTGTGTGGTATTAGTACTTTTACTAAACTAAAGTATCTGAATTCTTCCTCCACTACCGCCATATAGATATAACATCAACATACTTTATCTGTCAGCTTGGCGGTGAACCTGGTGTTGTAGTTGTTGTAGTTGTGTATCAGTGCGTACCTTGACCGCGCCGGTGAACCTGGAGCAGAAGCTGTTGAAGATGCTGAAGCAGTCGTCCAGCCTGAACGTCTCTTTGTCTTCGCAGAAGAAATCGATCAGCTCGCTGCCTTCCTTCTTCAGATGCTGCCGAGCGTCGTGCAGCGAGCTGAGAGACGAGGTGGCCGACTGAGACACAAACAAACGCACATGAACACACACACGCACAGTAGTAGACGTAAAGTACTAGCTGACCGCAGTATTTGTGTGTTCTACCTGCAGGAAGCCGTCCAGCTGCTGCAACAGCTCCGTGTCTCTCTGGACGTTCTCCTCTACTGAGCGCGTGCGAGACGTCTGCCACTGAAGTTCAGCGTCCAGCGTCTCCAAAGAGATCCTGCGAAAAACAAAAATATAATTTACGTACTGAATCTTTATCCTCTGGGAAGCGGTGGAACAGACATGAAGCTGACGGGGCTGATGGGAAATGTAGTCTGTCTGACCTGGAGGCAGGCTGGACGTGATTCAACTTCAGTGGGAACTCCAGCAGCTTGGTGTCTTTCTTCTGTGCTTCCTGAAGGAGAAAAGAAGGAGAAGTACAATATGAGAGGACTTCTTCCACCCGGAGGATCCTCATCGCCTCTGAACCTGAACACCGTAACACAGGTTTTACACATCAACCAGCCCTCACAATGTCCTTATTGGTCCTCAGAGATAGAAATGTTATTCTCTTTCTGCAGATGTAAATTAGCTTCAAGCTAACTCTGGTACAGATAAGAAGATGTGCACTTTTCATGGCAAATAAATAAATACATTTAATTAAATAAAAGCACAACACACACACACACGTTACTGACCAGAGCGACAAAGTGCAGCAGGTTCATGCCCGGTTTGTTGGCCTTGGTGTCGGCCAGAGACAGAAGGGACGACAGCTTGAAACCCACTGCGTTTCCTGCATAACCTCCCTGAACACACACACACACACACACACACACACACACACACACACACACACA